TGAAGAATTTTTGGGTATGATTTGTCACAGTTTACTTTATTTTGCTATCATCACTTACATAAATGAACTATAGTGTCCTGCACCCAGTAGTAAAAAAAATATCAAAAATTATGTCTGATCTCTGAATAATTTTTGATTTGACTATAGCCTTCGGTTATTTTCACACTTAATTATGCCCATTAAAATGTTTTTTACAAGTTTTTGTTACTTTGACTGTTCATTTTTTTGCTCTATGGTACATCATCTTTAATTTAATAGCATTAGAGCTGCTCCATTGCAGTGGCTCAGTACTGTAATCACGCGCTTTGCTGTAATAATGCAGGGAACCACTCGTTATAAATCTCCTAACTGTGATATTTTCAGAAATAGAAGTCGCGTTTTTTCATCTGAAACGTGCTGCGATTTATATTCCAAAGCCACTCATATAATGCAGAAACACTCAAGCAAGCAAAACGCACAACGCTTGCACGTATTTGTACTGGTGCAGAGTGAGAGGACAGTAGTACAGCCTAGCGCATTTCACACAGGCTGCTAGTTTCACTTTCGCCAAAAAGTTCTGTATGCCTAAGGTTGAAAATAAATGATTTTTATAGTGAATGCCCCTATAAATGGTCTTATTTTTACGATTTAGTTGTAATCCAAATGATGCGTGTGCTAAGTGAGTGAACATCAAAGATCACACAACAGAAGTTCTCTCTCTCTCTCTCTCTCTCTCTATATATATATAGCTATTAGTTATTAAATAGTTATTATTAATAGTTAGTGTAAATGTTTTAGATATTTATTTAGTATTTTTAAAATAAATTTGACAGTCTTAAATATTATATGCATATTTTTTTATGTTTTTTTTCTCCACAGGGGGTCAGAGAATGCCATTAATGCGTGGTCCACCTCCTCAGGGCATGATAGCACCACCTCTTCCCAGACCTCCACCTCCTCCACCCATGATGATGGCTCCTCCTATGTCAGGACCCCCTCAGCCCCCCATGGCTCCAGTTGGACCACCCATGGGACCCATGCCGCTAGTGGGTATTTTCTGAATTGTAATCAGCTGGGTGTTCATTTCAATTATTAATTTCAAGGTTGCTTTGTACTATAAAGATGGTCATGTCGGTATCTCAAATGTTTTTCTCAATCATTGGCAGGTTGGAAGCATGAACCCTATGACTTCAGCACCACCTCGGCCCATGCCTCAAGACCCTCCAAAGATCAGTCGCAGTGTTATACAGGCGGCCCCCACTGTTTACACAGCACCTCCTGCGCCTAAGAGAACTGACTTCAAGAGCCAGAAACAAGCACGCATGGTAAAGTATCAATACACCACTTACATATTGCCTATATGGCTTGTTTACCATTTCCACGGCATCCATTTTCGCATGGTTCATATTAATAATAACTAGTATGTGTGTCTGTGAGAAATTTTAAGCCCCTTGTGCTTCCGTTGTAATCATCTACAATCTTTTCTCTTCATCTTTTTTTCAGGAGGAGTTGTCAGCGTTGGTGGCAGAGCAG